CTTAGACCCTTCACAGTGATTTAATTGTACTAGAAACACTGGCTGGTTTAAGTTTTTGCATTATTTATCTAGAACTGCTCTAGTAATCACTATTTTAAGTTGCATGGAAAGCACTATAAAAGGATCTAAACACCACAGCTCCGTGTGCAAGAGGTGAAGAGGTTCCACAAAAGAAGGTTTACTGTGTTTGGAGGCGGGGTCAAGTATTGCCTCTGGTTACTCGAATGAAATAGTTTTGGTTTTGTTTAAATGAACATTGGGTTTGCTACCTAGTATATGTATGTGGCAGGCAGTAATTGCAACTATTACAGTTCTGGCTGCGGCAGAGATTTCCACACTGGATCTGCTGACAAAAGCCGAGGTAGAGACCTGAGCCTGCTGTGGGGTAGGGCACAGTATCAAATTCTTGCTAGTACAGGATCTGACTTGGTGGGGAATGTCTGCTACCAGAAAATAAAAAGCCAGTAGGGTGTGCGGTAGAATGCCTTTCCCCATGAGCTGTTCTTCTGTTTTGATTGTGGTGTAGAAGAATAGGAGAAATTCATAAAACTGACAGATGCTGAAAGAAAAATGAGGAACCCGAAAAATTAAAAACTTCTGTGCTGTGGGAAAAAAGCTCTGTTTTCATATTCCAGATGTGTACTGCAAGTACATCACTCCGATAACAGGGCATATGCTGACAGAGACATGCTTGAGAGCCTTCATGCAGAGGGAACTCAGCACTTCTAGTTTCTTTGCAAATAAAACTAAACCAGGGTAAAATAAGTGTCTATAATTCAGAAGTGTTGATGGACCTCAGTAACACTGTTGATTTGAAATCGCATTTATATTTCATTAGAATAAAACTCTCATGATAAAGGTGACCTAGGAAGGGGAAATGAGCTTGTGCAATTCTCTGTGGCTTATAAAAATGCATTGAAATTATTCTTGCCTAACCTTAGAAATAGATTAAATGCTGTCTTCTGTGGTTTGGTAAAAGGTCTTGGGGAAGCAAGTAACTGGAGCAGAAGGGAACTTTTCTTTTAATTGTGGGCACTTGGCGTTAAATTGTTTTGTTTATTTATACCTTGCTGGCTTCTGATAGCTTCTGCAAATGTGCTGAAATGTAACATAAATGCAGCCTCCCGTCTGAAGGCTTACAAGGGTTGGCATTTATCTCAATTGCTTGTCATGGCTCATGACATGTTTCTTCTGTGTTAGAGATGGTAGCTAAAACAAGGATAAAAAGCAGCAAATAGCCTAAGGCTGGAGGCTTTAGCTGGTGGCAAAGTTACAAGGGTACATGTGAACTGATCAAAACCTGTCATGTAGATGCTTTGTTAATCCCATCCACAAACAAGATGCCTTGCATTTCTGTGCACACACTGAGCCGCACCCCATGGCATCACCCAGCAAATCCCTTTACAGAAAAAGGAATTTATGTAACTTTATTTGTGCAAAGGATCGATTGATAAGAGCATGGCTCTTGTCTTTGTGTTTATGAATACAGGGGCTAATTAAGATAATAGCTGACAGGGTATGGATGAGGTAGCAAGATGTGGCTCAGCTTCTCCCCAGGCACTGCAGGAGCAGTGGCAGGTCTGTGGGTGCTTCTCCCTCCCACTGTGAAAGGTAGGGCAACCACAAATGCAGTAGAACTTGTGTGGTTTTTCCCCCCTTATGAATGATATTCAGGTTTCCACTATATGATTAGATACATTTTAGTCATGCCATTCTTGAATTGGCAAACTCTATTGATTTTCAATATGTCATTTACATTTTATTTATAATAATGTATAATAACTTATGATAATATGAATTTTGCAATGTACTAACCCAATATTTGAGATCTTATGGATTGCCTCCACCCTATTCTTACATAGATGTATGCATAGCCACCTTTTTCTTTTGTATTGCTTCTGTCAGAACCTAACTGCCTATATGATTTGCTTCGTATTTTTATTTTAGTGCAGACGATTCAATATGAAGCAGTCACTGGGGCTTGAGCTTTGCCGGCATGAATGAAAAGCAAGCTGTGAACAGCTATTCCTTTTCCCAGCCACTGCACCACCTCTACAGCACTGCTGTCAGAGCTGATTGCGTGACTCGACTCAAACACACTCCAGGCAATGTCAGCCCGGTTAAACACATGAGAACAGCCAGGCTGGGTCAGGTTAAAAGTCCATCCAGCTACGCTTCCACCGTGAGTGATGAGTAGGGCATGCTTAGAGTAGAGAAACGGAGCAAGTACAGTCCTTCCGGTGTACATACTCAGTATCTACCAGCCTGTGATAGAGGGATTTTGCTGTACCCATACTGCTGTGGTAGGTAACCCTTGCTGGACCTTTTCTCCATTAATTTATCAAATTGCATTTTAAGCCTGCTTGTACTCCTGACCTTCATCATTGCTTATGGCAGCAAGTCTCACA